ACTGCCCAATGTCAAAGGGATACCACAAGTTAAAATGTGCTGAAAATACTACTGTTACTGAATATCATAGTCCTAGCAAGAAAGTAAAATGTGGGTAATATCAACTTGAATTTCACATTGCTCACACAAATCTGGGTCAGTCCCCTTTAGCTGAAAACAAAGTGTGAGAACAACACAAACAAAGTGGAGCCTGATTATAACAACGTCCTCTCTCTACGATATCTTTGCTCCAAATACATGATTAATTATTGACTGTATGCTTGATATGAAAAACTTATTATCCTGTTGTTCATCACAGGTCATCTACTACCTGGCACAAAGCCTCAGCCAGATGGTAGGTTTCATTAGAAGATATGGAATGGACATAGACATAACACTACCAGTGGACAACAATTAAGCTGTGGTGTCAGCTAGCTCATTTAATGTGAGTCCAAAATGCAAGGAATCCAATGAAACTGAACAGAAAAAGATATAATAATGCTAAAGTAAATAGTTGTTTGTAAATTTCAAATCAATTGTTCCGCAGGGTCTTCAAGAAGATAAGCGAGCCTGTATAGACACAGCAAGTTTGCTTATAACTGTGTTGTTTATTAGTTCTGTATACTGTCACCAGCTTTGCATCATGATAACAGGGTGGGATACAAAATGTATTGCAATACATATTATGAAAATGATTAGGTGAAATTCAACAGAAAATTTTATAGTTCTTGATAATAACACTTAACAAGACAAAAACTAACATCTTGATATGCCATATAACAAGTCTAAATCTTTGAAGTCTTGACTAGAACTGAAAGTCACTGGAATGTACTGAACTGTTGACTAAATACATGCATGGCTCATACAATTAGTTAACAAACAGCTTATTATGTAATGCTTGCCTGTAGCTTGGTATCTAGGTTCAAGAGGTTCAAACATTCCTCTAAGCCTTTCACCATCAACAGTGCATTGAAGCATGTCCTTCACAAGAAATGATGAAATATTTTGTTGTTGCCATGGCAAATTGGGATGAATGATGACAATTCCATTTATTAGTTTGTGGTTTTGACAGCTGAGAAGAGTGTACTGATTTGATATCATTAAAGTGTCTATTTTCACCTCCCATATATTCAGTCACTATTGTACTTGTGCTACAAGCATGGTGCCAGTTGATGTGATACAACATACTTGTATCATTGCCACTGTATTAAAATGTAGCTTTACACAGCTTGAACACAACCTTTATATTGTCCATTTTAAGGAATACATGTTATCCAGACATCTGATTTGAACTTAATAACTACTTTCACAATTTGTATAAAGTTAGATATCATTTTGCAAAGAATAAAGTTTGGTGGGTATTTTTATTTGTATGCATGTGTTTATGTTTTGTGTTGCTTTTAAGGTGGTGTCTACTATACTCACACTGCTTTAAAAAATTACAATTTATATATTTCATTATGTATTTGTGGTGAATTTTTGTATTCTGATATTATTTATCATACTAAAAATATTTTTTATTCTTTACTGATATAAGCAACTATTAACTATACTACTTGGCAGAATAAGTCAAGTAAATAATGAACAGTTATTGTTATAGCTATCATCAGTATAAATATTGCAGTTCATTGACATACTGGTGAAATATGCCACCAGCAGAGTTTTACAAGCTATGAACTGGAGAAGTTCAGAAACCAATATGCATGTCCAAAGCCCCTGAATGTGATGCACAGAATCAAAGATTTTCAATATAGATGATTTATAGCCAAGACATAGAATAGTTTGAATGAGGGCAAGGTAAATGTGTAAAATGGAACATTTATCCATTTCCCAAGATATGAAAAAACACAAGGATGTTAAGCATTCCTGTTTGTTTGGCTTTAAGATACCAAAGATCTCTATTTCACTTACCACAACAATCTGTGTACCTCCCAGATGGAGCTCAGAATCAGGGTGCAGAATTGCACACAAATAGTTTTAAATTATGAACATTTACTATGGCCCATAATATAGTTTAGTGATGGAAATTTGGAACTGCCACTCAATAAACATCTTATTCAATGGCTGACAAGAAATATAAAAGTTATAACACAGACTTCATCTTTTGCAGGAAGCTGTTTAGTGATGTCACTGATTTTAATACTAGAAAGCATGACATTCAAGGCATAGCTTGTGTGAAAATTGGAACAGTATTGATTTGAAGAGAACTCAAAATGACCTGTTTACTGGAAAGTTATAAAGAATTTGCCAAATGGGCTGCACTCAGAATAATATAGTTCCCATAAAATACCAAATGTCCATATTGTGTATTAACAGACCTTCTCGGGATAACAAAAATTCATAAACAAGATCTCTCTTTAAAAAGGCTTTCCTGACTGAGGTTTCAAGATGAATCAAGTAGATGGCAGATTATTTCTGCCTTCAAAAATCACTGTGTGTTTGAGAGGTGGTAGTTTGATTTGAAAATTAACTGTTCTCTCCAAAGTCTTACACAACAAGTCAGGTCAATGGGTCTATATTATCTAAATTAAAAGGAATAATAGGATCTTTTCTGGTTTTAAAAAAATGATGAAATACATTTAATGCTATAACAATGGAAATGTTTCCAACCAGCTATGGCTGATAGAAACAGAAGATGATCTAATAAGGTAGTATATCATAACAACACCATCTAGTGCAACAGATATGCTACCGGACTTATGAGTTCCATCACAATAGTTTACTCTAACCTAAAAACATTAGGCCTAAAAGGTAGAGGAATTCACTAAGCCTATGCTCAATAACCAAAAATAGAGGGGAAAAGACTCAGGTGTTAGCTAGAATGATGGGCAAAGCACTTTCCAAGTGTGTTTGCAGTTTCTGTATATAAGCTACCTCTTAGCCATTGAATTGCAAGAACTCAAGGGAAAGAGATGTAAACTTTCCATTCACTTTCCAAAATCTCAAACCAGATGATCTTAGAACTAGTGGTTGAAGAAATTCTAAAAGGAGACTTCATCCAAGATTCTTTATAACTCTATCCATGATATGATGAACTCAGACTTACACCTTACAATATTCAATCAAGTTGATAAAGATAGGTATCTGTTAAAGACAAAGGCTCTTTTTTGAGCATGGCAAGCTTCCTAGCAGCCAGGGGTCTAAAAAGAAGAAGAAGAAAATGAAAAAGTTACAGGGATGATACTTGAAGCTACCTGGACAATGTAATCAGTCACTGTCTCCAAGAAGTCATTTACTACAATAGGATCAAGTGAGGTTAAGGAGGGTTAAATGGCCCTTTCTAATTTCCACTGTGGCATACAAGTTTGATTGCATTGGCTGTTGCCTGTCTTTTGCTAAACAATTGGAAAATTATAAATGCACTGTATCACTGTCCATCTTCCAAGAAAACAAAAAAAGGGAATAGGCAAACAAAATGACAAAACCTAACTTAGGGCTTGGAAATAGGCGAGATTTACAGCATTTGATAAAAACGGGTAATATTTAAAAGCAGACATTCTACAGATCTATATCATTTGACAATATTTTCCACCCCCCCAAAGAGAAGTATGTCCACTTATCTCTTAAAGCTGAAGAAGGAAAACAGAATTATCTAATAAGATTTCTTCACCTAGGGCAGCTATGATTAATAGAGCATGACAGTCCGGCCAATGGAGACATGGATTACAACAGCTTCTAGAGGAATAATGAATGAAAAGATGCATGGAGAGAGTATGCTGGGTAACCAGCAATGCTACTTTTCCATGCAAAAGACTATCACACAACCTGCCTTTGAGTATCACAAAAAACTTCTGAATGATGGTTAAAGTGGTAAAAATTTAACAAGACTTTGATGAAATTAATACTTTTTAATAAATTTGACAGTTTGATTGAAGAACTGTGACTAATCTTCCCTGATGAATCACATACAGGCAAAGAAACAACGATGGGTTTATCCCCTAGACAGTCTATAGAGGAAGAAAAATCTCAGACAAAAGAATAAAAAGACTGGAATAGAAAGACAAGTATGCACTCCTATCATGAAGGTGGAAGAGAAGACAGATGTATAAATATGCTTCAGTTAGGGTGTGACTAACTTTAGTGCCTCAGACTATAAGATTGTTACTCAATATCTAAAAATTCAGCATATCCTTCTCATACTTCCCACAGTCTTCAATTTGGGGCCTCTTCAAAGTTCCACTGGATGGTGTAATGTTTAAAGAATCCATAAAATGAAATAAAATTGCATCCACCAATCTTGCCTACCAAGAGGACATGTTATAATGTTAGTGAGAACTATACTCAAACACCAGTGAAATATTTAAAGAGTCCACAACACCCATTAAAGATGTTGGATAGTGAAACTCAGCACACCTTAACAAATGATCAAGAAGGAGTCACTCCAGTGACTCCCATCTGTAGATATTCAAAGTCAAAGTAGTGTACTGCAGAAAACTAGGAACCACATAGCTACAGGATCTACTCCTTCCTTTCACAGGTAGCCACATATGGCAAGCTAATAGGTGGATGTTTAGATCCAAGAGAAGATAAGCTGCAAAAGCAGAAGCTTCCCTGAGGGATCCTCTATCACAAATAGGTAACCACACTGCTGAATAAATAATGAATTACCATGTAGGTACACACAAAAGATAATGTGGAGCACATGCACAACACATATGAAATAAGGCATTTTTATTTAAGGATCACCTTAGAACTAAATTTCACAAACTTATTTAAAAAGGAACCCATTAAAAACCTAATGAATAGTGTTTTAACCACAAATCTTATAGTTTATTATAGCTACCAGTATGTTTATTTTAACCAGATAGCTAAAAATTAACAAAGATATAAATTAAAAATTAAAATGTTTGACATTTTGCAAGTATTGAAATTAGCATCATTAGCAACAACAAGGTAAAAAAAACATTCCAGACTGAAAAAAATAATATGTTCAAAAACAAAATCAGCAAAACACTTACTTAAGTGTCACAAGTTCTTGTTCAGAAGCCATTTTACCATCAAGAGCAGCTTGTAATTTTTGTTGTAATTTATTTAACTCAGCATGTACTTCATGGACCTTCTCACTTTGTTGATCCTCCAACTCTTTCACTCTCAACTCTAGTTCTAATCTTCAAATAAAAATATCAAATCATTAACCCATATCAACTCCAACTCCATCCTTCATATAAAAAATAGGTTATTATCCACATCCCTTCCATCTTTTAAGTAAAAAAATCAAATGATTAACTATATCAATTCTAGTTTCACTCCGTACATAAAAAATTCATCTCCTTATCTGTATTAATTTCACTGTAGCTGTAGTCTTCTTATTACAAATCACATTTAATCTATACCAATTCTACTCCAGATCCGTCCTTCATACAAAAACACCACAGGAAAATAAAAACATATCCACTCCAACCTTCACACCCAAATATTAGGTCATTTACCCTTTAACTCCATTACAGCTCCACCCTTCACACAAACAGTGTAATTACTCACAAGAAAATCACTTCAGCTTTTTTTTTTCTTCACACAACATTAACTCTACGACAACTCCATCCTTCACATGAAAACACTTTCATACACAAGTTCAACTCCACTACAGTTCTACTCTTTACACAAAAACAGCCATTACCAATATCAACTATACATCAGTACCACCCTTCATACAAATACAGTCATTTTGAAGTGAAACTTAATTAACATTAGAGCTATATCTGATAAGTCAGTTAGGTAACAGGAAAGTTGCTAAAGATATCAATTATGGAATACTACTAAATCTCTTCCTAACTTATGTGAAATGAAATAATGAGACTGGAGGGAAATGGTAAAATATTTATTAGAACACTAAAAACACAAACACACCATGTATCTGTGTGTGTGTATTTGTTTGTATATTAACCAAGTGAGATGTTCATTCTCACAGAAAATCTTCTAATTATCTCTTTTTCTCATCCTGACTAGACCAACCCATATTATTTTATACTATACTGACTAAGTTCCTAAATTTAACATTTATTTGTATGCAAGAAAATTTGCATTTACCTAGGACTACTAGTGCTACCCATGTAAAGGGTCATTTTCATCACATGTATGGGTCCAACTGTTGAAGAACACTACTGTTGACATCCTTACACAATAAGTCATAATACACAATATCCTTCCTGTTGAACACTGTCACATGTCCAATATTCAACAATAGGGCATATTTTTACAATAAAATCATTGGAGCACTTCCTACTTTAAAAACACTGGTTAGATTCAACCTCAGGTGTAATTCCTACATTAAAAAGCACTAGAGTATCTCCTATGGCATGTGGCTTATATACAAATAAGAATGATGAGAAGGTCCCTGAAAAGGAATGAAGTTACTCACCTCTGTCACAATCAAGCCAGGGCTTGTAGAATAGCAAAGTTCCTTTATGCTTTACTCATGATAGTCCATGAGTGAATATAGTGTTTTGTATTATATTGGATATAAAACAATTGTTAACCTGAAAGTATCGAGCCAGTTTTATGGAATATCTCAACAGAACTCGTTGCTACCAGGAATTTAGTTATTATTCTACTAGTAACTAGTGAGGATTTGTAAAAGCATACCTGACCATGCAACAATAACCACTGAGTGGGATACAAATAAGAATGATGAGAAGGTCCCTGAAAAGGAGTGAAGTTACTCACCTTTGTCACAATCAAGCCCGGGGCTTGTAGAATAGCCACGAGGGGTGTTTGTGACTGAAATTCACTTGAGGAGGAGACTGCTAAATCCTGTAAATAGTGCAATATAAAGGTGTTAAGTGTGGTCCACATACCAGTCTGTACAATTCTCTCCAACCGAGGTACTAGAAGCATCAATATATACCAAACTTGATGAGATGCAACCCTAAGAAGTATCTGCTCCTCCAATGAAAGACCAGAGTAAGAACCAACTGAATCCAACTCACCAAATTGTCAAAGGATAAGTCGTGTGATACTGAAGGATCCCAATGGATAAATAACCGGTGATATGAGCTACAAAAATCTTCAGTGCATGCCACATAACATCAAAGAGCCTGTACTGGATCCGATTGGTCATATAAAAAATTGGTCATAAACAAATATGTTGTA